CTCGTTATGTGTAATGTTACAACGACACGTTATGTGTAATGTTACCACGACACGTTATGTGTAATGTTACAACGACACGGTATGTGTAATGCAATACAACGGTATTTACTTGTCTGAAAAAGACCTTTCAATCAAACACGCTGTATTATAATAGTTAGTTGAGTAAAATGATATAACGATTTCGAACGTATGAAATTAAAATGAGAAACCAATTCATTAAACTGACAGCATCTCTAATATATGTTCCGGTTTAAATGAAGGCTGTTAAGCTTGTATTTAAAACAGCTGCACAGGTGGCAAGAAATGAGATGTAAGTATCTGTATACATGTTACCACTGCGATAACAAAAGATCTGTACAGCGAGAGAACGTCACCAAACAATTCGCTAACGACTCTAATATTTTTGTAAAGACTGTGATAATGACGTGACAGCTCTCAGCTCCTGTTATCTCAATGTACAGTGTCTATAGCACGATGCTAATGGGCAATACCTTAAGGGTTCTGACGGGAACAAATACAAGAAAATAAAATGGAATATATTCTGGTAAGTCTTGATATGATTAAAATCATGTTTTTTGTTTGTTTCATAGCAGGTTAATTGCATTAACAATGATAATAATAATAATAATATACAACATTTGATATAGCGCCCTATCTAGCTAGAATAAGCCACTCTGAAGCGCTTTACAGAAGGGTTTTACAGTACATAGATATACAAGTCATGCAATCAATACAATTAGAATATCTATGCATCAATCAATACGATTTTGAGGAATTCACAGGAGCTGCCTTATCAGGCGCTAAATACTAGTCCTATTTCACCTGGCTAATATCTCCCTGTGTGTGTGCTGGAGATGTATTGTGTTCTGCTTGTAGTGGTACCGTGCTTCCAAACGATATCATTTAAAGTGCCACCTCATATAGTGTTGCCAGACAAGGAAGTGAGACGCTTGCAGTTAGAACTGAGCTTTGTTCGACCAGGCGAAATCACACCACAGACAATCTATACTTACCGAGAAAAGTATCTTCCCACTACGTCACCGCAACGAGAATATATAGAGAAGTTGGGGAAAAAATAATAGAAAATATGGAGAATATCTAGTGAATAGACAAAAATATCGCGGATGTGATTTTTTGAAATTAAAGAAATTATAGATACATTTAGTCTGTTACGTCGGATTTTAGGGCTTTCTATAAGGCTTCACAATGGTAATATATAAACTTTATTATACAGTATAAGAAAACTTAATTAGACTACATCAAACAGCTGTTTCGTCCTGCCAATGCTCATCGGTGACGCTAGGGGCCACAAAACTGTAGAAACAGAGGGGCAGGTGCGTAAAACAGAGGGCAGGTGCGTAAAACAGAGGGAAAGGTGCGTAAAACAGAGGGACATGTGCAAAAATCAGAGGGGCGGGCGCGTAAAACAGAGGGGCAGGTGCGTAAAACAGAGAGACAGGTGCGTAATACAGTTGCACAGGTGCGTAAAACAGAGGGACAGGTGCGTAAAACATAGGGACAGGTGCGTAAAACAGAGGGCAGGTGCGTAAAACAGAGGTACAGGTGCGTAAAACAGAGGAACCGGTGCGTTATACAGAGGGAGAGGTGCGTAAAACAGAGGGACAGGTGCGTAAAATATAGGGACAGGTGCGTAAAACATAGGGACAGGTGCGTAAAACAGAGGGCAGGTGCGTAAAACAGAGGGACATGTGCGTAAAACAGAGGAACAGGTGCGTAATATAGAGGGACAGGTGCGTAAAACAGAGGGACAGGTGCGTAAAAAAGAGGGACATGTGCGTAATACAGAGGGGCAGGTGCGTAAAACAGAGGAACAGGTGAGTAAAACAGAGGGGCAGGTGCGTAACACAGAGGGACATGTGCGTAAAACATAGGGACAGGTGCGTAAAACAGAGGGACAGGTGCGTAAAACAGTGGAACAGGTGCGTAAAACAGAGGGACAGGTGCGTAAAACAGAGGGACAGGTGCGTAAAACAGAGGAACAGGTGCGTAATACAGAGGGACAGGTGCGTTAAACAGAGGGACAGGTGCGTAAAACAGAGGGACATGTGCGTAATACAGAGGGGCAGGTGCGTAAAACCCCTACAGCTATGAATTTAAACATTTAGATCCTTCTGGGTTAATTTTAAATTAGATCATCTTTGAAGGTGTCCTACTATAGCAACGAACTGCGTTGCTAATTTTGCATGATTGGATGCGGTTAAAACAGTCGTGTTTCATACCGTGACGTCACGGAGGATGGTTCTGTTTTAACTGATCTGTGTAACGGCAACAAACTGAAAGCACAAAACCTTCAATATACTGTTAGTTACAAGTAATTGCCAAACAACACTAGTGAAATCATTGAAACTACATCCCCTTTCATCAGCTATAAGCTACTAAGGATGTCTTGTATTAGAGGATTTATCCACGATGCCATATGATGAGTGTCTATAAGGCCCTTTTGTGGGCCGTGGTATATTCGGATATGTCCTTTTGTATGACATGCGGAAAAACCAAGGTAAAAGTTTGACCGAAAGTGGGTTTTTGGGATACCAAAAGGGGAAGGGTAAATCACAAATATAGTTTGCTGTTGAGCTTTAGAACCAAAATAATACCATTTCTGTTTTTTGAAACATGTGTTAATTAAACAGGCACATATAAAACAATGAAACATGACAGAATTTCAATCATCAATTAAAGATTGTTTATATAAAACGAGGGATTAAGACAGGGAGTTCTTTTCGGTCATTTTCAAATGAAAAGTGTTTGAATTTCTCAATAATTTCCTTTCCAGTTTATATTTTGACTTGAAATTTACAACTTCACTCATTTAAATAAACTTACATAAATTTCATATTCACTACATACTTTCCTTCTGTTGTAAACTGAGTTATGGTTTCTAGACACATCACAAACTTGGCTATTTCAAATATCTCTCAATCTCAAGTAAATTAAAAGGTGCAAGACACCCTTTATATGCTATAAGTATAAGATATCAATTGTTTATATTGTATATTATATATATCATTTAATATTTGCTCAACACCTGTGGCTGAAGTGAGGTCCAGGTACCGATTTGTTTTTTTACCTATCAAAGTTAACTTACAAATCAAAAATGGCATTTGTCACCACAAGTACTGTAAAATGATTAATTTAATATATGAAGTTTGATTTGCTGGTGATTTTAAGTCTCCTAGCCTCAAGGAAAGTATCTGTCTTAATCGTCACACCGATTTCATTGTTTTATCAAATGTTTTGCCTATTTCCAATGTTTATCCGCTGATTGTACATAAAAGGCATTTGGGGATAAGCATGTCACTTAACATAAATATTAGTTGTATGATGACATTTCATTTGTGAAAGTTTCATACTTATCCCACAATGCCTTTTTACTTAAAAACATTTTTTCTTGTGATTTGGAGTACAATGACCAAAGTTCATCTCCTTGCCTAACACCAAATATTTCCTGACAATATTAGTCTATATGAATGTATGTAGATTAGCTCTGCTAACCCGCCACACACTAACAAAGAAGTACTACAGTGCGTTAGCACGGTGAGTAATCTACCTCTAGATTAGTGGAATGGATTCCGTGGAAACATCAACGGTTCTCCAAGTGACCAGAGAAGTGTTGTTTGATGAGTCTGGTACTGATGCTGGGGCCAATGCCCAACTAAACCAAATGTTTGAACTAATGAAGTCAATGAATAACAGACTAGGGCAGCTCGGTCCAATCAGTGAAAAGTAAAGACCAAGTACAACGTACGATGAACTCGTTATCTCTCAAAGTAGGGAATTTGGAAAATGAAGTTAATATATTAAAGGTCAAGGGTCAAGATATGGAGCAAAGCTGCAGAGTAATAAGTGATATGTATGATGAGGTGAAGAATGCATCAAAAAAGCAAGGGGATGAATTACAGAGGCTGAAAAGAGCAGTCCACACACATACGCCTATAAAAGGGAACTTTGAAAGTCTCGAAAAACTAGTGAATGAGTTGAAATCTGATAAAGATGAATTGAAACGGAGTGTAACAGATTTAAAGTGGCGCTCTATGAAGAACAACCTGGTGTTCAGTGGTTTATTGGAGTCACCCAAAGCGAATACAGAATCACTTCTCCGAGAGTTTCTACACGTAGAATTGAACATCCAGCACCATATTGAGCTTGGTAATGTTCATCGATTTGGAAAGTTCATTCGTGGAAAAAGAAGGTCAATCGTCGCTCGCTTCATCTACAACAATGACAGATCCTTAGTGTTGAAGCGGTCAGGTATGTTAGCAGGAACTTCGTTCTATATCATTGAACAATTCCCTTCAGAAGTTGAACAAAAACGAAGGCAACTTTACCCAACATATAAAGACCTAAAAGCCAAACACCATAAGGTCAAGCTTGTCAGAGACAAGCTCATAGTGGACGGCAAGTTGTACACGGGGCCTTTGGTAAGTAGTGACGTCAGAGCGAAGAATAGCAACCCGCGACAGACCAGAACATATAGTGACGTTGCTCAAAGTCCGTCAAATGGGTCTCCTGGTTCGCATGCCCAACCGACAAAACGTTCGCGCTTCAACAGCAACGCTGAGTCCCCAAGGCGCCCTGCCCGTTTCTCGCCATCTTCCTCACCTGTGTCATCAGATGAAACTACCCTTAAGTCTGTATAGGATGATGAGGAGAGTGAACTCTCTACTGTTAACGTTGTATCATGGAATGTTTGCAGATCACTTGTTGATAAACTGAATGATCGAGATTTTTTGAACATTTTATGTAAATATGAGATTGCATGTTTATACGAATGCTGGATTAGTAGTGAGGATGACATATCTATAACAGGGTATACTGATCATGTCATACCTAGACTCCACGGCCGTGGAGGGGGTATTGTAATATATATCAAATCTTGTATAGCTGAGAAATGTCGAGTTGTTGAAACTGTTACAGATAGCATCAGTGTAGTCAAATTGTCATATCCGTCTAGAAGGGATATCTACTGAGCTGTTAATTATTTCCCGCCCGTAAATAACACGTATTATGAAAGGAATGATTTAGATTTGTTTATATTACTAGAGGAAACTGTAAGTAAATATAAAGAGTATGGTGACGTTTTAGCTATAGGTGACTTCAACAGCCGTACTGGTTTATCTGAGGATTATATTGCCTTTGATCGAGTCAGTGAATTTTCAACCCATGTTTTATCCAATATATTCGAATACCTTCCTGATTCCAATGTTTGTAAAAGGGCAAATATGGACTTATATGTTAACCAATTCGGAAGGCAACTTTTGTCTCTTTGCAAAACAACTGGTCTTAAAATTTTGAATGGTAGACATGCTGGTGATGGTAATGGTCATTATACGTTTTTCAGTAACAATGGAGCCAGTCTTATTGACTATGTTTTAGTCCCTGATACTATGTTAAAGACCATAGCACAGTTTGAGTCTGGAGTTTTTAATCATTTTTCTGACCACTCTCCAGTATCATTCTCATTGCCCTCGTTGTTTCCCTCCGTACAAGAACATATTAACGTAGAGCCTAAACCGTATAGAACTACCTTTAAATGGAATGAGAACGAAAAACAGTCGATCAAAGAAACACTGCTAGTTAATTCTGCTGACTTATTAGATATATGTAATGACTCGGATCTTAGCGAAGGGGGTATCAATAACGTTGTAAATAAGTTTTCAGAATATGTAAAAAAAATAGTATCTCCTTATTGTTGTAAAACTGTAACAGAACATGTCAGAGATAAGAAAACGGTGACAGAAGATAAGCCTTGGTTCAATTATCAATGTAAGCAAAGGTTCAGAGAATACAAGATTGCTCTCTCTACTTTTAATTTATGTAAATCAGCTGAAAATCGGGAAAACCTCATCCGATGTAAGAGCTGTTATAAAAAAATTGAAATTAAGTTAAAGCGTGAATACATGCTTCATCAGGGAAATATGTTAGAATATCTGAGAAAGTATAACTCAAAACGGTTTTACAAGCACTTCAAAAAAAGGAAGAAGTTAACTGTCTCTCAGAAGATATCTTTAGAAGAATTTCAAAAACACTTCTGTAACCTTGCATCCTCTGAACTAACAACTGATGAAAGTATTAATAATTATATGAAACATTATGATGACATACTCATTCACGCTCCAGTGTTTGATGAACTTGATGCTGATATTACAGGTTGTGAAATAGAGTGTGCTATTCAAAACCTTAAATCCAATAAGGCGTGTGGTATTGATAATATGCTGAACGAATATTTTATTCATTGTTCTGAAGTTTTTGTACCTTGTCTTGTTGTACTTTTCAACAACATTTTTAAATCAGGTAATTATCCTCGTATGTGGACAGTTGGAAATATAGTTCCAGTATTTAAGAAAGGTGACCCAAGTAACCCTGATAACTACAGGGGTATTTCAATTGTCAGTTGTATTGGTAAACTTTTTACGTCTGTATTGAATAATAGGTTGGTGAAATTTGACATGGAGTACAATAAGATAACCGATGCTCAGTTTGGATTCAAACGGAATTGTTCAACGACAGATGCTATATTTACATTACAGGCCCTAATTAATCGAACGCTAAAAAGTAAAAAACGTCTATACTGTTGTTTCATTGACTATACCAAAGCTTTTGACCTGATCAATAGACAGAATTTATGGTACAAGTTGATCAAAGAAGGTATTGAAGGTAAAATGTTAAATGTTATCAGATCACTTTATAAAAATGTAAGATGCTGTGTAAAAAACAGCGGAGTATGCTCTGATTTTTTCGACTGTAAGATTGGACTTTTTCAAGGAGAAATTTTGTCACCTCTGTTATTTTCATTGTATGTGAACGATTTCGAAATGCAATTTATAGAGGACAGCTGTCCTTCGATTGACTTACAACTAATTAACATATTTTTACTTATGTATGCTGATGATACAGTTATCTTTGCCGAAACACCTCAAGGTTTGCAAAAGATGCTAGACTCTTTGTTAAATTACACTATCAAGTGGGACCTTACTGTAAATACTTCAAAGACCAAGATTGTTGTTTTTAGAAATGGGGGAAGATTAAAAGATAATGAAAAATGGGAATACGATGGGTGTGTGTTAGAGATAGTGAATGAATTCAACTATCTTGGAATCTTATTGAATTATAATGGGAAATTTAAACAAACACAGAAAAAAATATCTGAACAAGGAAGAAAAGCATTGTTTGCATTATTGGGTGTATGTAAAAAACAGTATTTTAATATTGAGACTCAATTAGCAGTGTTTGATACTTATGTCAGTAGTATAGTCAACTACGGATCAGAAGTATGGGGATTCCATAAAGGCCCCGACATCGAAAAACTACATGTAGATTTTTGTAAAAGGTTGCTAGGTGTGCGCAAATCCACTCCGAATATGATGGTATATTTCGAATTAGGCCGTTATCCATTGCATGTAACAAGGAAACTAAAAATATTTAAATATTGGTTTAAATTGCTCAATACCGAAAACTGTATTTTGAAATCCTGTTATGAAAATATGCTGCTAATCAAGGATCCATGGGTCTGTGAAATAAAAGATGAATTGTATCGTTTAGGCTTAGGATATATCTGGGACGCACAGAATGGAAACAATTTCACTTTTTTAATTATTAAGGCAAGATTATTTGACATTTTTAATCAAGAGGGATATAGTCTAATTACAGGTATGTCTAAAGGTATGCTTTACAGAGAATTAAACAGTACAATTTTACTACAATCTTATCTAACAAAATCAGTTAATATCGGTTATATGAAAGAAATTGCTCGACTTAGGCTGTCAGCTCACAAATTAAACATTGAATCTGGACGTTATGTTGGCACTGTTAGAACTAATAGATTATGTACAAAGTGTAATCTTAATGACATAGAGGACGAGTTTCATTTTGTTTTAGTTTGCACAAGATATACAGATTTAAGACGGAAGTATTTAAAATTTTACTATAGAAATAACCCTAGTGTATATAAGCTTGTTCAATTACTTAATACACCGAATATTAAAGGATTATGTAATCTTGGAAAGTATCTGATAGCGGCAAATAAGCGCCGATCAGATATATGACAGTTTGTATGTGTGTATTGTTCATTCTCCTGTGACCAATGTGGCTTTTTGAACATACGTAAATATCCTGTTTAATATATGTTATTACACCTCTACTTTATTTACTCTATATAAAAGTAATTGGTTAAATCGAATATATCCCCACTTTTGCCTGAGTGTGTTTTAGTCCTGTGTGTTAGTCTGTGAACTAAAACACACCTACACTCGGGTGTTTCCGCCGAGCCAATCAGGCGAGAGGTGGGCGGAGCTTGTTACCGAACTCGGCAGTGACGCGCGAGGTGGGCGGAGCTTGCTGCCGAACTCCGAAGCATTTGGCTCCATTGCCATCAAAGGGGTAGCTGGGACGTGAGGCTATACAGCTTATGGTTTACAAAGATTTTCAAGTTAAAACTATCTCTGCAGTGTGCATCGGTATAATAAAATTAACGTATGGGGTTGCTGCCGAACTCGTAAGCATTTGGCTCCATTGCCATCAAAAGAGTATTTGGGACGTGAAGCTATACAGCTTATGGTTTACAAATATTTTCTAGTTAAAACTATCTCTCCAGTGTGTATNTATCCGATTTCATTCTTTTATCAAATGATTTGCCTATTTCCAATGTTTATCCGCTGATTGTCCATAAAAGGCATTTTGGGATAAGCATGTCACTTAGCATAAATATTAGTCGTATGATGATATTTCATTTGTGAAAGTTTCATGCTTATCCCACAATGCCTTTTTGCTTAAAAACATTTGTTCTTGTGATTTGGAGTACAATGACCAAAGTGCATCTCCTTGCCTAACACCAAATTAATGTATGTAGATTCAACAGGCTCAGTAGTGTGTTAATAGTAGTAAGAGGTGTGTTTGACATGCTACACTGACCAAAAACCAGATAGTTTATGCTTTGAAAACACAAAGAGAGACTAAGTTGTTCTTTCAAGTTAATCTTGGCAATTGACAGTTACTCCTTTTGTTGATTTCATACGGTTTATTTGCAAAGAAACATTATAATATCCGTTAAAACCATCGTTTTCTTGCAGAATAGACAAATAAAATGATGGGGAAAGGTTTTATGTATATTTCATATTCCGATATGAAGTAAAGTTAAGGTAGTGCACACATGGTTTAGTTAAGTTTTGTATTGTTTGTTGATCGGGTTTGGTTTGATTTTGATAGATACAGTACTAGTTCTGCAAGCCCCGAATATGAGATTGTCAGGGTATAACGGCCATCTTAGAGCAGTTCTACTTATCTGACGAAATTGAATCAAACATTTACCTTTACTTAATGCACGTTAAAAGGGATGCTTTCACAGTCCTCTCTAGAGGCGATAAACGAATAGCATAGTATCGACCTATTATTGACGGAGACGGATACAGTAGTAGTTTGAGGTCTATTGGGCTTAGCTTGTTTATACTTGGTGACGTCATACCAAAGGTGTAAATCGTGAGAACGAGATCGTTATGCAAAATGCCTTTTGATCGTCTGTGTTCGCTGTGTCAGTGACAGGAGTTAAAAGATGATATCTCAGAATGGATTTTGTTTGGCAGCAATAGGGGAAGGGAACTCGGTATCCGTGGCTTTACATGGAAGAGTGGGGTTTTCTTAAATG